ATTCCAAACCAACCAAGAAGAAGTGTACGAACCACACTCTTGGTTATGGAATTGGCCATCGGCTCGATTGGGCATCGAGGTGTATTGAGCAGCTCAGACGTTTGACCCCGTCCAAAGGGGGTGTGACCCGATAAACTGATCACCGTCTCCCAATGGATTGCGGTTTTCACACAGCGCCCCACTGCCTTGCGGATCAGGCTTTGACTAAGTCCAGTTGTTGATTCCCCAATATTATTTACCTGTCTTGGCCTGGGAAACCTAGCAGCATCGTCTCCACAAACAAATCATGGACCCTTATTTCTTCGTTCTAAAGACTAGTTTTCCCTGATTTGTTTTGCATTAAGTCTGAACTCCGGTGTGCGTGAAAATTAAAAAAGACGAACCCTGACGCTACACTAAGTTCTGGAGACTGAGGTGTCGGGTGAAAACATGACGATGATATTACCTTACGTGTCGACAACGCAACGGCGAATTAAAACACGTTGAGTCACTTGCCGAAGGAGATGCTCGATATGGTATGTGCTTCGCACCCCGCAATCCAAAATGCCCCTGCAAGAGTGAAAGGAAACTACTCTCGTTTAGGAGATAACAACATTCTGAAAGTGATGGAGAGCTTTGTCCACCTTAGGAGTTGTATAACAGCTGTGGAACGTTTGAATGAAGAGATCCGCTAATGCGTACTTAAAGCGAAATTGGCGTTTGCTACTCCGCGACAACTTAAGCATCAATAACGAGACTGTACCTTGACGTGGTGTGACGGTATATGCACCTCTCTGACCAAACGAGCTGCACAGGATGGCTTTGTTAGGCTGAAGGTCTAATCATGCCTGGAAGGTCAATGGGTAGAGATCAAATGAAGTCCAGTCCGCTGATCCTCCAGGTTAGGGGTTCGATTTGAGTTGGCGTCTCAGTGGGTAAAATGTGTTGGAGGAGTAATTGACCCACGTTAATGGGGCTCCAATCCGCCTTAACCACTGCCTTGCGGTTGGGCTCTTGTCAGAACTAAAGGCTTTGGTTGAGAACCCTAATCTCTCTACTGCTTAATGGCTGGACACTCTGGAAGTACCCGTCCATCAAACTCTAATGCATACACAAACTAAAAGTAATTCCATACTGCATCGACCGTCGCGCACGATAATCAGGGCCGTGCTACTCATTGCATCGAGCGGAGTGGGTAGTGATAAGTGGGCTACCGCTGAGACATCCCAACCTGTTTGATTCCGTACCCAACCCTCTCCCATGTCCCTTCTTCCGACCAGTAATAGTTCCTTAAACAACATGGATATTATTATATTACAATTCACACCCGCCTGAGTGCCGAATAAATCAAGGTACAGTAATCTTTATAAAAAATATAAAAATGTTCCGTGATTTGTATGTAGGCCGAATACTGCCAGGTTGTCCAGGCCAAGGCAGGTGAATTTTCTTGAGGAATTCACAACCGGAGCCTTCGGCTAGCCAAAGCCTGACGCGCAAGGCAGAGGGGTAGTGCAAAAACCGCAATCCGTTGGGAGCACATGTTGTTCACCGAAAGTGGAATCACGACGAGACTGCACCTTGATGTGATGTGATGGCTTGCTTGCCTCCATGACCCTGCGAGCTATACAGGATGGCTCTTCACTTCCGCAGATTTAATCATGCCTAGAAGGTCAACGGGTAGAGTCCAGACGAAGATCAGTCTCACAAGGCCAGCTGTTTGGGCACCCCTTGGCTTCCTTCTTCTATCCACACCCGTCCCTAGAGAGGTAACTCCAGCAAATAAACACGGTGAGGGGCAGTTTACCGGTCGAAAACCCCCCGCTAGATGGAGGTAGGAGCGGGGTACCTGGGGCTTCCTCCCGACGGTGGGAGAAGTCTTCGCACTTCATTGGACAGCTACCATCCGCCCAAGCTGGGCAGCTTCAGCCAATAAGGTGCTGTCCCGTCCACGTTTCGCTTGTCCCATTGGGTGCATGAGGCTGATGGCCGACCCCGAACAGCGGACCGATAATCAACGCACCAGCGAACAACATAACTAATCGAAATTCAAAGGCCTTGCGTGACGGGACTTCATAAGCTCCCATACGGGTGCTTCATCAGCATCATCATCATCGTACAGCGAAACACAGTGAAGCGAACTTCACTGACCGCTGCCAAACTCACAATGCATACAAGGTTAGTGGTAAAATTTAAGGCGAACAGGGGTTGGATCTGGTTTTCAGTTGTTCGCCGAGCTTGGCAATTGTATTGCAAACGTTTCATCACCA